CGACGTGTAAAGTCGATAGGTTTGGGAAGGAGTGGTGCTGTTATTGCGACGTATAAATGACATAGGTTTGGGAAGCACTGGTGCAGTTATTGCGACGTGTAAAGGACATAGGTTTGGGAAGCAGCAGTGCTGTTATTGCGACGTGTAAAGGCGATAGGTTTGAGAAGCAGGGGTGGTGTTATCCAGAAATAGAAAACAGAGAGTAGAGAAATTGAAATCATCATGCTCATCACACAGCCTGGTGGAAAGTTGTCTACAGTTGAATTCGTTGTAGGTCGTAGCTGACGCAGAAGATTTTGCCGTGTCCTTGACTGCTGGGTATAAACGATGGACAGTAATCAATAAATCTATTATCGTGTGAATTCAATAAAACATCATCAACAACTAAAAGAGAAATTGAAAGCGCCTGGTTTGATAAGCTCTTCGATAAATGCAATCTCGTATGAAAACAAAAACAAGTCAGCCAAGAAATGGGCATCGTGTGTTTCCATAGCTATGCTTAAAGTTTGCTGGGAGATCTTATGAAATTCGAGACGGCGAAGGTATTGACAACACGACAATTATAATTTTGTCCTCAGTATATTTGATTTGGAAGTACAAATGTACCTAATATCTATATATTGTATCGCCGTACACATGTCTTTGATAAATGTCAAACTGATTGTAAAGACGGAACACTATAATGGTCCCTAATGCTTTGATAAAGCATCAACACCTGACACTTTGATTGCGTTAACATTCTCTAGTTTAGCCTGATGTAAGGGGAGTAACTCCTTAATTTATAAACATATTTTTATCATTGTCTCCAGACGTTCTAGAAATAATTGCGCATGATACTGCGTATTAACGACGTCGTCTTAGATTTCTTAAATTCTGCTCGTTTTTGTTTGTTACATAGTTAGTAAACCTTGTCCATAACTATTGCATCGGAAGAGCTTTCATATTTGGTATGCATGTTCCGTGCGCCAAGACCTTAGTCATACTGTTTATGTAAGTCTCGGTTATACTGTTTGTGTGTACCAGTCGTTGGGTGAGAGTTTTAAGTCTCGGTTGTACTGTTTGTGTGTACCAGTCGTTGGATGAGAGTTTTAAGTCTCGGTTGTACTGTTTGTGTGTACCAGTCGTTGGGTGAGAGTTTTGAGTCTCGGTTGTACTGTTTGTGTGTACCAGTCGTTGGCTGTGAGTTTTAAGTCTCGGTTATACTGTTTGTGTGTAACAGTCGGTTGTGAGTGTCAAGTCTCGTATATATATTATAGGTAGAGGTCACCTTAAAATGGGTCAGGGCAGGAAGCGAAGTTTTCACAACTTCCAATGACGAATGGTTAAACTACACCTACAGTTGTTGATTTTTATAACAGATTTTTTTATAACGAACTTCAAACTGCATATCGTTGTAGTAATAGTGCTAATGCATAATCATGCAATTACGTTCATAAACTAAGAAGACTGAGGAAGTGAACGACATATTTGTAAAACATAGGGCATTTAGGGGAACTTGACATAGGAGATTGGCACCTGGCTTTGTTAGTGACACCTCGTATCTCATCTACCTGACCCCGAACCGCTGAGTTAAGTGGAGACTGGATTCCAGATAAAACCTTGTTTATTAAAAACAACTTACCAGCACGAACATGTTACCGACTACTTCCTACTTGTCGTTTCGGAATACGGAATGAAACAATTAAGTATTTCTCCGCGAGTCCAATGTTTTATGCATCATGTTTATGGCATTAAATACACAAATGTTACATTTATTGCTGTTGCTGTTCTTTATCAATAATATCTGGCTATTGTTTGTTTACGTATTAGCTGAAACCGTATGTCGTTTGAAAACGTTCTTCACTGAGAGGGACATATGAGAGACTACCACTATCCGTGCCTTCATCTTTGAATAACGTTGTCACACGTCGTTACACGACAGCAAACACATTTTCGTCTAAGAATCTTGTTTTGAGACAAACCATGCATCAAGCTCCACCCGTACCGCTTTATTTTTCCGTGGTTTTTCTTATATAAATGAAATGTAGAGTTCTCAAAGTATTGAACAAGGGCGAATGTCTAATATCAACTTCAAATCAGGGCCCTTACTCGAAGTCCTAACACCCAACATCCATCCTGCCATTTTACAAACACATGACTGATTTAAGATCGCGCTCTCATGTTTGAAATTCTGGAGAGTTTTGGTACTGGCTATTGCTTTGCCCTAGACAGCATGGACAATGAACACTTCCTTAAAACTGTGCTTGGCTCAGATCTCCTGGGGACCATCACAATTCTAAGGAATTTCTCCGAGAGTGTGTGATATACCTACGACAAGCATCCCATGCTTATTTTTCTTGAAATGATGTCGTGGCACAGATCACACCCTCCAATATGAGGTTTCGCTTTAAATGACTGAGACAAATTATATATATATATTCAAATATCTACCTTTCACTTGAATTTTTTCGATTTCTTGTTTTTTGTTATATCTTAATCTCCGCAAGGGGAAAATAAAGAATGATGATGATGATGTGAAAGGGAGTGACTTCTATCTATGTTTCCTCGTTTATTTTGAATATCACAGCCACTCTTACTTTTTTGGCCTCAGGGCTGGCTTTGGTGTAACGTAACAGTATATGGAGGTCAAAATCTAGAACTAAATTAGGGCCAAATTGCACAGGTGATAAAATATTTTTTATTTATGTGTATTATTTAATATTTGAAGTTTTTAATAAAATGCTGATTGTTATAGACGTGTAATATGTTATTTCCGAGTTGATTTCGGTAGATATTTCTCTTACAGTAAAATACAGGCAGATATCCATTTCGAATTGACCGCTTTGTTTACTTTCACGGTTTATAAAGAGCTGTAAAATCTACTGAAACAATAAAGTCAGGGACGAATTAAAATGGAAAACTATGATAAAAATAAACGGTAAGAAAACCTACTGAGACAATCCTGGTATCCTTATAAGGTATGGGGAGGGGGACACGGGGAAATTGTGGTGATATTTTTTTTTCAGCACGAACAAACTTGTCATATATATGTTTCTACTAAGGGTATTATACAAAGGAAAATATGATCGCAAGTTTTTACTTATAGGTACAAACTATTATGAATAGAAAGCATAATCTCGAACATAGCTGAAAAAATAGAATTCGATAAAATTTGTCTTATCCGCAGCGACTGGCTGTTACACGGATTGAGTATTTTAATCGAATAGCGACGATTAATTGGTTAAGATCTTTAGATCAATGTAAAAAATATCATATAGTGTGTGTCGTTAATGCCAAGATCGGATCTATTGGACCTTATAGGTGTTTTCATTTTATATGAGATTTTATGAAACGAGTCTTAAAATATTATTCAAAATTTTGCAAGCATTGACAAACATTAATTAAAACTTCGAGACGAGTTTCCAAAAAATTCACACGAAATGAAAGCAAATTTAAAATACTTTTTATAATATAACTCGGAAAAGTTATATTTTGACCGGGTTTAAAGTAAAAACGTGGAGGACAAAATCAAACAGACGCCATTTTCAATTCATGACGTAACGCCAATGTTCAAAGTATGACATCGAAATCAGCTTCAGTTTGACGCAGTCAACGAAAAACGCTCTAGAGCATATTGCACTATTGACATATAAGCAAAAAGAGTACATGGATGATTTCACTATAAAACAGGCGAATTATGTAAAAGTTAAGAGTACATATATCGCATGACTTCACTGCAAAGAAATACAACGTAATCCAATTGATAACTTCTTTATTTACCGATTTAACAGTATAAATGTGCGTCGTTTTATTTACGAGTCACGCAAATTCTCGAATGTATTTAAGTTATGTACTTCATAAGTCGGGAGTTTGATTCTTATAGCAAATATAAATTGTGTGTCGAATTTATCTGTTTGATCTCGACTTCCCAAAATATTTATCCCTATAAATAACAGCACTTCCACCCTTCGACATTGCATTTTTGCTATATTTTGCGTCTTTTGAAACATGACGTTCGTGCCGGCTCCCTCTTAATCGGACAATGTTTGTGACATTTCCTCAAATAGGTGACCTTTATTTTTGATTGTGCAGCCCTAGTGAAGTAGTGTTGTCGTCAATATCAGTTCAAATCCGCCAAAACTACAGACAAATTGATGAAGACGGATCGAAAAAAGCCAAGTGTTCGTGATAACCTACGAGGATATGAAGCATTATATCGCCTGACGAGATGTGTGTTTAGAAACTTGTTGTCATTAAGGAATATACAGGATGGTAGAAAGAATAATTATCATAATTCTGTGACGTGGTTGTAGGTTCTGTACCTTAACAAGACTCCACCCACCAGAGTCAAGTGAGTGTAGTTTCTGTGTTATCTGAGATGGCTGACCACCCGCTCCGTGTCCACTCATCATAATCCCTAAATTTAGGACTTAAGTTCACCACAAATGGGATGTTTTGTAAACAGCCCAATAGCTGGTTCGGCCCAGTACAGGAATGGCCTCTTGTTGACGACGAGAAAACAAACAGTGCCCCACCAGAATTAAGACGACCTAAGATATTAAATATTGAGATAAACAAAAAATAAAATTTACATAATTATCGAGATATTCTGTCAAATAAGAGGTTTGATTAAATATATGTAGCATTCAAAGATACATTTACGATCACGATTTCATTTAGAAAACAGCCCCGAAAAAAAACAATTTATTAGAATATTACCCCATTTCAGACCCCTAGTTGAAAATGCCGAAAGTGGAAACAACATGGCCGTTTAGGGAGTAATCGTGATATTGCTTACAGTGATGGAATGTAGGCTTCAAACAGTATATCGACAATAGGGTGTGGAACCAAACTAGGATATATAGTCCCTGAGGTCCCTATCACCGCAGATTTTAGACGGTTCATGGGGGACATAACCGCACGTACGTGAGAAAAACAGTGACCATTTCCAAGATACACGGGAATATTTTGGACTAAGTCGATTTCTTATGCAATCATTTCACGGACTTTGTAATCTTAAGATGTATACATATCTTCTTGCAGTCAGTAAGTATACTATCAATGCTTTAGGTAGGAAATCAGAATACTTTAAATCGTTTTTCTCTCGACTATTGATAATCAGGAATCCTTTTAGATAGATTTTCTCTCGACTATTGATAATCAGGAATACTTTTTGATAGATTTTCTCTCGACTATTGATAATCAGGAATACTTTTAGATAGATTTTCTCTCGACTATTGATAATCAGGAATACTTTAGATAGATTTTCTCTCGACTATTGATAATCAGGAATACTTTTAGATAGATTTTCTCTCGACTATTGATAATCAGGAATACGTTTAAATCGTTTTTCTCTCGACTATTGATAATCAGAATACGTTTAAATAGATTTTCTCTCGACTATTGATAATCAGGAATACTTTTAGATAGATTTTCTCTCGACTATTGATAATCAGGAATCCTTTTAGATAGATTTTCTCTCGACTATTGATAATCAGGAATACGTTTAAATCGTTTTTCTCTCGACTATTGATAATCAGAATACGTTTAAATAGATTTTCTCTCGACTATTGATAATCAGGAATACTTTTAGATAGATATTCTCTCGACTACTGATAATCAGATAATCAGGAATACTTTTAGATAGATTTTCTCTCGACTATTGATAATCAGAATACGTTTAAATCGTTTTTCTCTCGACTATTGATAATCAGGAATACTTTTAGATAGATAGATTTTCTCTCGACTATTGATAATCAGGAATACTTTTAGATAGATTTTCTCTCGACTATTGATAATCAGGAATACGTTTAGATAGATTTTCTCTCGACTATTGATAATCAGGAATACTTTTAGATAGATTTTCTCTCGACTATTGATAATCAGAATACGTTTAAATCGTTTTTCTCTCGACTATTGATAATCAGGAATCCTTTTAAATAGATTTTCTCTCGACTATTGATAATCAGGAATACGTTTAGATAGATTTTCTCTCGACTATTGATAATCAGGAATACTTTTAGATAGATTTTCTCTCGACTATTGATAATCAGAATACGTTTAAATCGTTTTTCTCTCGACTATTGATAATCAGAATACGTTTAAATCGTTTTTCTCTCGACTATTGATAATCAGGAATACTTTTAGATAGATTTTCTCTCGACTATTGATAATCAGAATACGTTTAAATCGTTTTTCTCTCGACTATTGATAATCAGGAATACTTTTAGATAGATTTTCTCTCGACTATTGATAATCAGAATACGTTTAAATCGTTTTTCTCTCGACTATTGATAATCAGAATACGTTTAAATCGTTTTTCTCTCGACTATTGATAATCAGGAATACTTTTAGATAGATTTTCTCTCGACTATTGATAATCAGGAATACTTTTAGATAGATTTTCTCTCGACTATTGATAATCAGGAATACTTTTAGATAGATTTTCTCTCTACTATTGATAATCAGGAATACTTTTAGATAATTTTCTCTCGACTATTGATAATCAGGAATACTTTTAGATAGATTTTCTCTCGACTATTGATAATCAGGAATACTTTTAGATAGATTTTCTCTCGACTATTGATAATCAGGAATAGTTTTAGATAGATTTTCTCTCGACTATTGATAATCAGGAATAGTTTTAGATAGATTTTCTCTCGACTATTGATAATCAGGAATCCTTTTAAATAGATTTTCTCTCGACTATTGATAATCAGGAATACTTTTAGATAGATTTTCTCTCGACTATTGATAATCAGGAATACGTTTAGATAGATTTTTTCTCGACTATTGATAATCAGGAATACTTTTAGATAGATTTTCTCTCGACTATTGATAATCAGGAATACGTTTAGATAGATTTTCTCTCGACTATTGATAATCAGGAATACGTTTAGATAGATTTTCTCTCGACTATTGATAATCAGAATACGTTTAGATAGATTTTCTCTCGACTATTGATAATCAGGAATACTTTTAGATAGATTTTCTCTCGACTATTGATAATCAGGAATACTTTTAGAATACTTTTAGATAGATTTTTCTCTCGACTATTGATAATCAGGAATCCTTTTAGATAGATTTTCTCTCGACTATTGATAATCAGAATACGTTTAGATAGATTTTCTCTCGACTATTGATAATCAGGAATCCTTTTAAATAGATTTTCTCTCGACTATTGATAATCAGGAATACTTTTAAATTTTAGATAATAGATTTTCTCTCGACTATTGATAATCAGGAATACTTTTAGATAGATTTTCTCTCGACTATTGATAATCAGGAATACTTTTAGATAGATTTTCTCTCGACTATTGATAATCAGGAATACTTTTAGATAGATTTTCTCTCGACTATTGATAATCAGGAATACTTTTAGATAGATTTTCTCTCGACTATTGATAATCAGGAATACTTTTAGATAGATTTTCTCTCGACTATTGATAATCAGGAATACTTTAAATAGATTTTCTCTCGACTATTGATAATCAGGAATACTTTTAGTTTTTCTCTCGATAGATTTTCTCTCGACTATTGATAATCAGGAATACTTTTAGATAGATTTTCTCTCGACTATTGATAACCAGGAATACGTTTAGATAGATTTTCTCTCGACTATTGATAATCAGGAATACTTTTAGATAGATTTTCTCTCGACTATTGATAATCAGGAATACTTTTAGATAGATTTTCTCTCGACTATTGATAATCAGAATACGTACGTTTTTCTCTCGAGATAGATTTTCTCTCGACTATTGATAATCAGGAATACTTTTAGATAGATTTTCTCTCGACTATTGATAATCAGGAATACTTTTAGATAGATTTTCTCTCGACTATTGATAATCAGAATACGTTTAAATAGATTTTCTCTCGACTATTGATAATCAGGAATCCTTTTAAATCGATTTTCTCTCGACTATTGATAATCAGGAATCCTTTTAGATAGATTTTCTCTCGACTATTGATAATCAGAATACGTTTAGATAGATTTTCTCTCGACTATTGATAATCAGGAATCCTTTTAAATCGATTTTCTCTCGACTATTGATAATCAGGAATACTTTTAGATAGATTTTCTCTCGACTATTGATAATCAGGAATACTTTTAGATAGATTTTCTCTCGACTATTGATAATCAGGAATACTTTTAGATAGATTTTCTCTCGACTATTGATAATCAGGAATCCTTTTAAATCGATTTTCTCTCGACTATTGATAATCAGGAATACTTTTAGATAGATTTTCTCTCGACTATTGATAATCAGGAATACTTTTAAATCGATTTTCTCTCTCGACTATTGATAATCAGGAATACTTTTAGATAGATTTTCTCTCGACTATTGATAATCAGGAATACTTTTTAATCGATTTTCTCTCGACTATTGATACTCATGAATACTTTTAGATAGATTTTCTCTCGACTATTGATAATCAGGAATACTTTTAAATCGATTTTCTCTCGACTATTGATAATCAGGAATACTTTTAGATAATTTTCTCTCGACTATTGATAATCAGGAATACTTTTAGATAGATTTTCTCTCGACTATTGATAATCAGGAATCCTTTTAGATAGATTTTCTCTCGACTATTGATAATCAGGAATACTTTAGATAGATTTTCTCTCGACTATTGATAATCAGGAATACTTTTAGATAGATTTTCTCTCGACTATTGATAATCAGGAATACTTTTAGATAGATTTTCTCTCGACTATTGATAATCAGGAATACTTTTAGATAGATTTTCTCTCGACTATTGATAATCAGGAATACTTTTAGATAGATTTTCTCTCGACTATTGATAATCAGGAATACTTTTAAATCGAGTTTCTCTCGACTATTGATCATCAGGAATACTTTTAGATAGATTTTCTCTCGACAATTGATAATCAGGAATACTTTTAGATAGATTTTCTCTCGACTATTGATAATCAGGAATACTTTTAGATAGATTTTCTCTCGACTATTGATAATCAGAATACTTTTAGATAGATTTTCTCTCGACTATTGATAATCAGGAATACTTTTAAATCGATTTTCTCTCGACTATTGATAATCAGGAATCTTTTAAATCGATTTTCTCTCGACTATTGATAATCAGGAATCTCTTTTATAATCAGGATAGATTTTCTCTCGACTATTGATAATCAGAATACGTTTAGATAGATTTTCTCTCGACTATTGATAATCAGGAATACTTTTAAATCGAGTTTCTCTCGACTATTGATCATCAGGAATACTTTTAGATAGATTTTCTCTCGACTATTGATAATCAGGAATACTTTTAGGTAGATTTTCTCTCGACTATTGATAACCAGGAATACTTTTAGATAGATTTTCTCTCGACTATTGATAATCAGGAATCCTTTTAGATAGATTTTCTCTCGACTATTGATAATCAGGAATACTTTTAGATAGATTTTCTCTCGACTATTGATAATCAGGAATACTTTTAAATCGATTTTCTCTCGACTATTGATAATCAGGAATCCTTTTAGATAGATTTTCTCTCGACTATTGATAATCAGGAATCCTTTTAAATCGATTTTCTCTCGACTATTGATAATCAGGAATACTTTTAGATAGATTTTCTCTCGACTATTGATAATCAGGAATACTTTTAAATCGATTTTCTCTCGACTATTGATAATCAGGAATACTTTTAGATAGATTTTCTCTCGACTATTGATAATCAGGAATACTTTTAGATAGATTTTCTCTCGACTATTGATAATCAGGAATCCTTTTAGATAGATTTTCTCTCGACTATTGATAATCAGGAATACTTTTAGATAGATTTTCTCTCGACTATTGATAATCAGGAATACTTTTAGATAGATTTTCTCTCGACTATTGATAATCAGGAATACTTTTAGATAGATTTTCTCTCGACTATTGATAATCAGGAATACTTTTAGATAGATTTTCTCTCGACTATTGATAATCAGGAATACTTTTAGATAGATTTTCTCTCGACTATTGATAATCAGAATACGTTTAAATCGTTTTTCTCTCGACTATTGATAATCAGGAATACTTTTAGATAGATTTTCTCTCGACTAATAACGTATTTGTATTCGACTTTCTATTGCCGATTTAAGCTTTGTACTCTCAATTCCTCAAATTCTTAGAAACGGTCTTTATCGTGGCTGTCTCCCTGACGAATAACAAATATAACATAGAACTCGACTTCGTCTAATTTAGTTGAAGGAGTAAACAGCTTAATAGTTTACAGGTTAAACTCGTACAGTGCTATTGAAGTTGTAAACCTATTCTGTGTTTCCATAATCCTGGTAGATTTTCTGTAAAGCCAGTTGTAAACACGTGTTATAGCTTCATATGTTACACGTGAAATTCTGATTTGTTTTACTAAAAGGTCAATTGCACGGGTACTGAATTTCTAGTGTGATCAATCCTTTGATATATGAACGTACCTCTGTTGTTTTTGTACCTGTACTACTTTCTAATTTTATTAGGAGTTGGATTTTATTAGCTGTAAGAATCGAGAAACGGAAATGAACTTTGGTTGTACACTACAAACACTTAGGTCTACATGTTTAATCTTTCACCGAGGCTTGAAATCTCTTAGAACAATCCAAATATTTAAAAAATGTCATATCATAGTTTATTCATATACACTTCAAAAGAATCCTTTAAAATAATTATATTCCATAAGATTTGCTTTCAAATACAACAAAACAACGAAAGACATATTCCTTCATGGTTTCAAACACCAGTGGAAACACAACCGCATCATTCTCTGTAGAAAATGACACAACTTCAGGACATCGATGAGAATTCCTGATCATAACCTGATTCCGTGTGTCTGTTTACTAGCAATGAGGAGCAATAATCGATAGTGGCTGAACACATTCATGTGCATTAAGGATTATAGTTCTAAGTCATGAAAAATGATTTTATTTATTCATGCATTATATTGAAATAATTGCCAGACTCAACCACGTGTAAAGGATTCTTCAGCCGGGGAGACTTAGAAACAGTAATGTAACTAATCAAACATGCATCTCTTCAGGTAGACCCTGTACTACAATATTCTATCACTTTAATGTCAAGAGTTGGTGTTAGTAGGGGATGGTTTCACAGTAAGGTTTAGAATGTCCGTACGTACTGTTGTTTAGGTGGAGTTAGTAGGTGATGGTGTCACAGTAAGGTTTAGAATATCCGTATCTACTGTTGTTTAGGTGGAGTTAGTAGGTGGTGGTGTCACAGTAAGGTTTAGAATATCCGTACTTACTGTTGTTTAGATATGGTGTTAGTAGGTGATGGTTTCACAGTAAGGTTTAGAATGTCCGTACGTACTGTTGTTTAGGTGGTTTTAGTAGGTGATGGTGTCACAGTAAGGTTTAGAATGTCCGTACGTACTGTTGTTTAGGTGGAGTTAGTAGGTGGTGGTGTCACAGTAAGGTTTAGAATATCCGTACTTACTGTTGTTTAGATATGGTGTTAGTAGGTGATGGTTTCACAGTAAGGTTTAGAATGTCCGTACGTACTGTTGTTTAGGTGGTTTTAGTAGGTGATGGTGTCACAGTAAGGTTTAGAATGTCCGTACGTACTGTTGTTTAGGTGGTTTTAGTAGGTGATGGTGTCACAGTAAGGTTTAGAATATCCGTATCTACTGTTGTTTAGATATGGTGTTAGTAGGTGATGGTGTCACAGTAAGGTTTAGAATGTCCGTACGTACTGTTGTTTAGGTGGTTTTAGTAGGTGATGGTGTCACAGTAAGGTTTAGAATATCCGTATCTACTGTTGTTTATATATGGTGTTAGTAGGTGATGGGTTTACATTAGGGTTGAAAATATCTGTTATAACCTTCGTTTTCAAGTTTTGTTCGGAAGAGATGGGACCACATCAGGTCCACTTTTAATTGTCATCTGGATTAGATGTCAAAATTCAAACAAGGCATCGAGACACTTGACTAAACGTGAATATTAAGATGTTTCTAAAGGTATCCGTCGGAATTATTTAAACACTGAAATACATGTTTGTTGCCTTAGGAACAACATATATTATAATGCATCATTAAAAAAGTTTAAACAATTAAGTGCTTAACCAACATGAAGTCCTAAACAATGGGCTGAGGATCTGTCCTTAAATACTACATCTGTTATGAACACTTAACAAAAGGCTGAGGGTCTGTCCTAAAATATAACATCTATTATGAACACTAAATACAGGGCTGAGGGTCTGTCTAAAAATACTACATCTATTATGACTCTAAATAAAGGGCGGAGGGTCTGTCCTTTAATACTATTATGAACACTAAGAGGAGACTTTATACGACTAAGAAATGTTGTTGTTTATGACTGTCATCGTTAATTATATATCGCTAACCATTTTTCTGTTTGTGTTTACAGTATTTTTACCTGGCATGGTTTTCTCATGTAAGTAACAACAATCTCTAATGATAACGTAGTTGGTTTATAAAGATTTTACTGGATTTCTGTCGTTGTTGGGTGTACGATATAAATAGCTGTTGATATTGTCATACAGTGATAGGAACATTAACCAACGCATTGACATTACAACTACGTAAGATAGAAGTTCCAAACCGTTATGGTCATTATTTACTATCACATATGATAAAATTACAACCCAAAGGAAATATTCTAGTTATACAAATAGCATTGGAATATCAGAACTTTCTGACCGAAATTCTCCTAATATAACTTTAAAGCAAAAGTAGGCTACAGTGATTTAAAAAAATTCTAAACTTATCAGAAGAAGCAATGAAGGAATATCAAAAATTGTAATCTTTATCATTATTACATATTTTGATAAACTTACGACAACCTTTGATCAACATGATTGAAGATGAAAAAAATATCCTTTTGTGTAGATAAAATTGTACGTTAATATATAAGAGTATTTATATGCTTTAAGAACTAAACAATGTCAAAAAGTGCAGCAGGAATTGGCTCAAACAGCTTGTTAATGATGTCCATGCAGTGCCAATGACTCACCATGACGTCATTAACGCAAACAATCGTTTCACTTTGACTTTCTTCATTCTTTTGTAGTGAATAAATTCATTTGTGAGCATTCCACGGATTCCATCTCGTGTAAGAATGGTTTTGCTTTAAAAATTCGAAGTGTGAACTTTGGTCGGACATCAAAGATCGTGTGCAGCAATGATCCGACAACGAACTGCTACTCTTCCGGGCGTACAACGGGCTACCTTGCAAACAAATGTAATGGATTAAATGCCTGTCAGCTGACAGCAGACAGCACTGTGATTGGTGAAGATCCGTGTCCAGGGGTCGCAAAATACCTTGACCTTCAGTATGACTGTGACCCCATCCCCACCACCACTACAACCACCACAACCACGACTACCACGGTCGCCCCGGTAACACAACAAACACTGACACAACAAGGAGGTGAGCGCAATACAAATTAAGACGAAGTTTACACAAATGATGAAGGGCACGTCTATTCTATTCTTTTTGTTGATGATGAACAGTCCCTTGTGTGAATATATATATCCTATGTGATGTTTATGGACTGTTCAATTTACACAAATATGTTCTATGTCATGTTTATGAAATGTCCATTGTTCACACGAATCTATTCTACTTGATGTTTAGGAAGTATCTAGTGTTTACACAGATCTATTCTATGGCATTTTTTTTTTATTATATAACAGTCCTTTATCAGTAATTTCTTACAAACGTCACAGTATATAACAGTATTCCTCCAGTTAATTCTCGCGAATATTATGCTTTTTTATGATAGTACCATTTCGGTTAATTCTTACGAACATCATGCTTTTTTATGATAGTACCATTACAGTGAATTTTTACGAACATCATGCTTTTTTATGATAGTACCATTACAGTGAATTCTCATGAACATCACTTTTTATGTAGCAGTACTTCTTTACCTCCTGACATTAAACTTTCAGCCAACTAATATTATATTATATGTTTACAAATGTCTTTTTAATATATTTGATTTGCAATCAATTAACATTACACTTTTATATACAATGTTTTAACAAATATACATTGCATATTGTAAAAAGTGTCCTGTGCTTGTAAAACTCTATTCCATAGCGCATTTCTGAAGTGTCCAGTATTAACATAACTTTTTTCTATAACATGTTTTTTGAAGAGTCCTGTGTTTACACAAATTTCTTCTGATCTTCTGAGTGACCTATGGTTCTACAATTCTGATCTATGGCGTTTTCGAAGTGACTAATGGTTCTACAATTCTGTTCTATGGCGTTTTTGAAGTGACTAATGCTTCTACAATTCTGTTCTATGGCGTTTTTGAAAAGACTAATGGTTCTACAATTCTGTTCTATGGCGTTTTTGAAGTGACTAATGCTTCTACAATTCTGTTCTATGGCGTTTTCGAAGTGACTAATGCTTCTACAATTCTGTTCTATGGCGTTTTTGAAGTGACTAATGCTTCTACAATTCTGTTCTATGGCGTTTTTGAAGTGACTAATGGTTCTACAATTCTGTTCTATGGCGTTTTTGAAGTGACTAATGGTTCTACAATTCTGATCTATGACGTTTTTTTGAAAAGACTAATGTTTCTTAAATTCTGTTCTATGAACACCGAGGAGACTTTATATTCTGTTGACTGTGTTCACGCCTTGCAGTCACGAGCCATGATGGGGTTTTGTTTTGAAATTGTTGACAATCTTCATTTGTTTCAATGATATCCGAACGTCTTGTGTCCATCGTGGAAATTCTATTTAAAGCTTTCGTCTTCTGTTTCAGCCAGATAAACTTAATTGAAATGTTTTTAACACCTTCATTTGTCAATGTATTATTAAATGTGTTGTAGCACCTCAGGTGTGTCACGAATATTTGATATCTGGAGTTCGAGGAGTTCCCGACAACAAACTGACCGCTTCATCAACATGGTCAAATAAAACAAATGACGACCATAAGCCCCATCGGTCACGTCTCTTTACTACTGCTGTTGATTACTCAAACGGAACTTATCTGAGAGGAGCCTGGAGTGCGGGTGTGAACGATAAAAACCAGTACATACAGGTAGAATATCGTGTTTATTAGTACGTACAGGTAAAATATCGTGTTTATCAGTACATACAGGTAGAATTTCATATTTATTAGAAGATACAGGTAGAATACTATGTTTATTAGTACATACAGGTAGAATATCGTGTTTATCAGTACATACAGGTAGAATATCGTGTTTATCAGTTGATACAGGTAGAATATCGTGTTTATTAGTACCTACAGGTAGAATATCGTGTTTATCAGTACATACAGGTAGAATATCGTGTTTATCAGTACATACAGGTAGAATATCGTGTTTATCAGTACATACAGGTAGAATATCGTGTTTATCAGTACATACAGGTAGAATATCGTGTTTATTAGTACGTACAGGTAGAATATCGTGTTTATTAGTACCTACAGGTAGAATATCGTGTTTATCAGTACATACAGGTAGAATATCATGTTTATTAGTACACACAGGTAGAATACTATGTTTATTAGTACATACAGGTAGAATATCGTGTTTATCAGTACATACAGGTAGAATATCGTGTTTATCAGTTGATACAGGTAGAATATCGTGTTTATTAGTACCTACAGGTAGAATATCGTGTTTATCAGTACATACAGGTAGAATATCGTGTTTATCAGTACATACAGGTAGAATATCGTGTTTATCAGTACATACAGGTAGAATATCGTGTTTATCAGTACATACAGGTAGAATATCGTGTTTATTAGTACATACAGATAGAATACTATGTTTATTAGTACATACAGGTAGAATATCGTGTTTATTAGTACATACAGGTAGAATATCGTGTTTATCAGTACATACAGGTAGAATATCGTGTTTATTAGTACGTACAGGTAGAATATCGTGTTTATTAGTACATACAGGTAGAATATCGTGTTTATCAGTACATACAGGTAGAATATCGTGTTTATTAGTACGTACAGGTAGAATATCGTGTTTATTAGTACATACAGGTAGAATATCGTGTTTATTAGTACATACTGGTAGAATATTGTGTTTATTAGTACATACAGGTAGAATATTGTGTTTATTAGTACATACAGGTAGAATATCGTGTTTATCAGTACACACAGGTAGGATATCGTGTTTATTAGTACACACAGGTAGGATATCGTGTTTATTAGTACATACAGGTAGAATATCATGTTTATTATAACATATAGGAAGGGTTACAGGTAATGTAATTTTTTCTCTGTTGCACACTTTTGGCATATATCAGATAAATAATGTCTTCTTTAATTTTCGTTTCGGATATTATGACAGTAACTATGGATACTTAAATTACATCCTCGCTCGTGTACATAGAATATAAATAAACAGGTTTCTTCTCATTAAACTCATCTAACACGTCACATCCTATAGTGGCCGTTTCAAAGGCTAAAAAACATTCAATTCATCTTCTGTAATCAAATAACTACTGACCAAACGATTATAAATATAACGTTTAGACGTAAGCATTCAGTTTTATCAAATGTCAATATGTTCTTTTTGTTTACTAACATTGTTGTCTTTACCTCTTGGGGAATCAGAGAGATGAGTTGATTTTATGATATTTCATATCGAATTGACCACCGGCCGACTGACCAATGATAAATTTGATGTAATGCTTAGGTCGTACTGACCAATGGTAAATCTGCTGTAATGCATTGGCCGGACTGACCAATGATACATCTGATGTAATGCATAGGCCAAACTGACCAATGATACATCTGATGTAATGCATAGGCCGGACTGACCAATGATATATCTGATGTAATGCTTTGACCGGACTGACCAATGGTAAATCTGATGTAATGCATAGGCCGGACTGACCAATGGTAAATCTGATGTATTGCATAGGCCGGACTGACCAATGGTAAATCTGATGTAATGCATAGGCCGGACTGACCAATGGTAAATCTGATGTAATGCATAGGCCGGGCTGACCAATGATAAATCTGCTGTAATGCATTGGCCGGACTGACCAATGATACATCTGATGTAATGCATAGGTCGGACTGACCAATGATAAATTTGATGTAATGCATAGGTCGGACTGACCAATGGTAAATCTGCTGTAATGCATTGGCCGGACTGACCAATGATACATCTGATGTAATGCATAGGTCGGACTGACCAATGATAAATTTGATGTAATGCATAGGTCGGACTGACCAATGGTAAATCTGCTGTAATGCATTGGCCGGACTGACCAATGATACATCTGATGTAATGCATAGGCCGGACTGACCAATGATATATCTGATGCAAAGCATAGGCCGGACTGACCAATGGTAAATCTGATGTAATGCTTAGGCCGGACTGACCAATGATAAATCTGATGTAATGCTTTGACCGGACTGACCAATGATATATCTGATGTAATGCATAGACCGGACTAACCAATGATTGGGTTTGAACATTTTTAGGCCGAGTTGGCCTAACAATTATCCATTATGTGTTACTGTTTAGGCGGAGCTGACGAAAGTGTCGACTATTCGAGGAATGGTGACACAGGGACGAAACGTTAACCCTAAGGATAACTGCTGTAGTCAGAAGGTGACAAGCTACAAAGTCGGCTACAGTATTGATGGGACCACATGGCAGATGGTGAAAAACGGACCTAATGATATGGTATGTCTTTTCATTGTGAACGATAAAAAGGAATGTAGTTTATTTACTTGGTTGTTTTATGTTATGAATAATTCAGCTTTTACGTCTTCTTTACAACTAAGATGGTCAGGGTTGATGGGCCATTCTGTTTTAATATGAAAGTTACACGAAAATTTCATAACCAGTCTTACCACTAACTTGTTTATACCATTGACCAGTCTACACCATTCACCTGTCCATACCACTTCTTATCAATGATAATTCCTACCACTGACCATTTTTTATACAACTGACCTGCCTTTACTGTGGACCTATCCTACATCTTACCTGTCCCTACCACTGACCTGACCCTACCAGTGATCTGTTCCTACCGCTGATCTGTCCTTACTACTGATCTATCCCTACCACTGATCTATCAATACCAATAACATACCCTTACCACTGACCTGTCCCTACCACTGATCTGTTTCTACCACTGATCTGTCGCTACCACTGATCTGTTCATAGAACTGATCTGGTAATACCAAAGACCTTTCCCTACCGTAGACCTGTCGTACCGATGACCTGTCTTTAGTGTATGTCCCTACCACTTGTCCTTGCCTCTGGCCATGAATATACCACTGACATGTCCATACCACTGACCAATCCATACCACTGATTTTTCCTAACTACTGACCTGTCCTTACGGCTGACCTGCCCCTACTCGCTCTGGAGACAGTAGCCGCAATTTACACATTTTGATGCTCTATATAACAGCTGAAACTAATTTTTTGTCAAGTAACGAGTTAAGGATTTTTTTAAAAAAGAAGCATCGTGCAATGGGAAAAGTAGTACTAAATCTATATGTACTAAAATATGCGTATACTCTAGTTGACAACAGAGTTTATTTTTTTACCAAAAATGAACGAACTGCGAACGAAATCGTACTATTATAGATAAAGAACAGTAGTCTAATGTGTTAGGGTCTCAACAACAGACAATACATAGGCAGTAGTCAGTATTATAAGGTGTTTTTTCATTATAGATTTTCCCAGGAAACACAGATCAGGACACTCCCGTCACCAACATGCTACCCTGCCCAATAATTGCCAAGTACATCCGTTTGTATCCGGTCACGTGGGACTCTCACGTGTCACTGAGATGGGACACAATTGGTTGCCCAACTGACGCTAGTAAGATTATTACTGTTAATGTCTTTTCATGTAAAACCTTTTATTCAGCTGAGCTATTTCAAATGATAATAGTAATGAAAAGTTACCTGATGGAAGGCGAAGTATGTTATCACAAAACCTAAACCTTCTTCTAGATGTACGTCGACACGCAAATAATAAGGGTGAGTGAAATAAGATTAAAGCTAAATATACAAATTAATGATACCGGAATCTACAGTGATTAGAGGCAGAACATCTTCACGTCCAAAATGTTTTGGTGAATTTCAATGTTAATAAATTACTTTATTATAGATCCATATGGTCAGTGTCCGTCAGGATGGTTGGAGCGACCTAATAGTAACGAGTGTTACCTCATTTCCACGAACCAGTCCAAAGGTTTTGACGATGCGAGACAAGCCTGCAGGCTACAACAGGGGGACCTCGTGCAGATCGACACCGTCCAGGAGAGGGTGGGTGTTACCAATTATGTATATGTCACACTAGGAGGTTGATGCTTTTGGAATAAATTATTCTATTTGGAATGACATTCGTGGCATAAAAAATGATACTTTAAAAAAATACTAAAAAATTTAAGAAAAACAGTGCTTTGAGACACACGAAAACAAGAAAACCGGTGTTTTATAAGCGTTTGTGGATTATGTAATCAACAGTTTTAACAAATGGCGTTTTACTGGTCGTCAAGGCGGTACGCCAGCTAACACGAGCATTTACGTTCCGTTCTCCCCTAAGCCTGTTAGCAGTGATGATTGGGTTAACATTGTTTGTCTGTACAGAAGTCTTTCTCCTCTGACTGTAGTCTTTCAGAGTCCGTCAAAACTGGGATGCTCGTTGACATGCCCGGTTTGGTATGCGCTGACCGAGAAATAAAAGACCGCCTGCATTAAATCAAATACCTACCTACCTGTATCTTATACTAATTTGAACCATTCGAAAAGCTTGCCATTTTAACCCACAATATGAGCATGGTATGATTTACCAGTTAGTTGTAAGTGGGCGAGATACCCGTGTATAAGTTGGTTACCGTCAAGTTAGATGTATCGCGCGGTTATGGTAGCAAACAAAAATTGGATACGACAGGGAGTATGATGACGTTTAAGGGAAATAAAATCAATTAAAATGTTCCTACTGAAATTGCTGATCACTAACGTATGGTCAAGTGTGAATATTTTGTGATTTGGAACAAAATGCTGCTACGATAAAGAATTCAGTACGTCGTCTGAATTTTTCTTTAATGATTTACGTTTTTGTAAATCTTTCCGGAATTAAAAAAATTAGAACGCATTGGTCAAAATAAAAAAACTCTTGACTATTCAAATTTTATTATCTTTATTTTAGAACTGGATCATTCAACAGTTGAATATCGTTAAAAACACACAATTCCAAACCAACCCACTGTTTCAAGTTTGGGTAGGTCTTAGTAACAGACCAAGACGAGATACGCAAGACTATAAATGGATAGACGGAACCCCCCACGACACTAACATTGTGTAAGTAATACAACCCCACCACACACAAACGGCACTAACATTGTGTATGTTATACTACCCCCCCCCCCCCACACACACCCACGACACTAACATTGTGTAATACTACCCCAACCACACACCCACGACACTAACATTGTGTAAGTAATACTACCCCCACCACACACCCACGACACTAACATTGTGTAATACTACCCCCAACACACACACGACACTAACATTGTGTATGTAATACTAACCCCCACCACACACCCACGACACTAACATTGTGTAAGTAATACACCCCCAACACACACCCACGACACTAACATTATGTAAGTAATACCCCCCCCCCCCCCCCCCCCACCACACACACACACATCCAATTAATAGTCTAAGTATAGCATCTCTTTGTCAATAAACGGTAATTCAATATGCAGCATGTGCAATATTCAAAGACGGTTTCTATTTATCAATAAATTTAATCTCATAGAAAATATTTTAAAAGATATTGATGAATTGAATGCTATATTACACTTAAATGAGTATTCAGGACTTATTGTGTTAATTGTGAAAACAGTCCTTGGCTACCAAAGATGCCGGATAACTATATGACGATAGAACACTGTGGTGAGCTGGTGAATTCTGGTCTGAACGACATCAACTGTAACAACCCTATCAACTACGTATGTGAGAAAAAGAAATGTAAGTATTTTATCAGGATGTCGTTTACACGACTATAAATTATTTTATTAACTTTATGTTACGTGTTGGTTGTGTTCCTCAAACTCAAGATATCAATATGCAGTCACTATTATCGGGTATATACGAGAGATCATGTTAGACTTGAGTCATGTGATCAGGAAAACTAAACACAATCGATATCTCACAACATTCTCCGTGGATATTAATGCTGTATTTCCTGTCACACATCATGTTGTATAATGTAATAATATTAATTAATATATCAATTTCAGTTTGGAATGCACCCGTCAATAACTTCACCCCAGCTATCGTAATACCGACCACGCCCTCCACGCAGGCTCCAATAACAAGTAGGTCACGACAGCTTGATTTTAGGCTTGGTTTCTTAGTAAAAACATTCGAGATCCGTGGATAAGTAACTATCATGTTGTCTGTATATATGGTGTTTCGAGAATCACAAAACCTATAATTCACAAAAATGAAGGCCATGTTGTCACGTCGTTTACATAATATTACTGACCATTTACAGGATAATAAAAACAGGATTCTTCTCTACAGGTTGTAAACCTAGGGTCGTCTTTTTCCTTGTACGTCAACTCTAGTTATCCTACACAAAACAATGCATCCCAATATCTGTTAAGTTGGGACAGAGTATGGATTTTTTATTTTCCGGACGACAACTTTCTAAATTACAGTAGAAAAGATAAAACAAACACCTAGTTGTTGGATAATGATAATGAAAAAGATTTTTTTTATCATCTTTCATACGTCTTCGTACACCAAGTATATCCCAATTCAATCGCAAAGCTGCTAAAGAAATCCTAATTCAAATTCGGTTAAAAAAGGAAAAAAGCTCTTGAAAAATACAAAGAAAATATGGATAAGTTTTAACTTGTTTCCTGGAATGCCCTCTTCCTTCAGTACACGTTTGTTTTAAAGTGCGTTCAATAAGTACAACATGTTAAAGATTTACAGCAGGATACTCCTGTCGATATCAATATGTAGCATGACTTGTTTTTATCGTTAATGTCTTTACCTGTGTTTCATCGAATCTAAATCAATTCGTGTTAATACATAATGTAGCGGTACAATTTTCAATATTGGTTCTAGTGACGTTAACACAGCTATTCTTCATTGGTTACCTGTCATGTGTATTTTTTTATTTTTCAGTACAAGCAAACATTCCAGTTCCCATTGGAGGCAATGTACAAACGGTTGGCCAGAGTACTTTTACAAGTAGGTGTCTCAACCAATTATTTTAACTTATACCTATAATAATGGACTTCTGTCTTAAAGTTCGAACAGTTGCGGTTGTCTTCTTTGTTTGTTTGTTTTTTTAAAAAATATTTTTCCAATATGAAAATTCTACCTGCAACAACGGTCTTCTTCTGTCGCAATAGTCTACCTGTAACAATTGGTGTTTTGATATTTAATAATGGTTTCCCAGGCCAATGACAGCAGTTTTGTACCGATTACATCGACTTTCTCCGTATTTCAATTCTCTACAAGTAAAAGCGTCTCTTTTTGTGTCTTACAACCATATCCCCAAATCTCATTCATCCACAATTAAATACATATTCTGATCGTCACTCGATGCGATGAAACATTTTTGGTATGAAAAATATTGACGTGTTCCGACACATTTCAATTTGACTGGTTATAATTAACTTCAGAACAATTTTGAAAAATAAAGACAACAAATTAGGTGTGGTTGAGGAGAGTGGATAGAGTCTGATTTATATTTTTCCTTGCAGGAGGATGTCACAGATCGTCAGACTGTCGTAATCTTCAGCTGGGAGATTACCAGTCCTGCACCGGATGTCACTATTATCTGACATGCGCACCAAGCGGCGATTTTGTCAGGCCCTGTCCAGCGAATCTGATCTTCGATTTCAACAGTAAAGCATGTGTAGCTCGTTCGGGCACGTGCAGAGGACCTTGAACATACGCATATAATCGACGCTTTTAGACTTGAATATTGCAAAACTGTTTACAAATTCAGGCAAGAATTAATTTTCATGACTCATTGGAGCAGAACAATGCTGAAGGTCAAAGCGAACGATGATATTAACAGGAAATACAAATAAGACATTTTATAGCACAAATGCTTGATAACATATATTTATTAGTTTTGTCTCCATTTTCACTATTTCGTGTTCTTTTATTAGTGTAAATCATTGATAATTAAAGTCCATATTTGATATCGTCAAGAACTGGAGCCTATATTGTTGGTGTTTCATTGGTAGGGAATTGAAAAACGAAACATAATTGGAAAAAAACAAATCACCTAATCAACGATATTGCTTGAACAAACCTTCATTAATAAAAAGTGCATTTATAATTTACAAGCCAAGACTCAATTAGATCCAACACACTTTAAGACTTTAACATTATTCATATACATGCGCAATTAAGGGAAAAAATGGATCGTTAATCTATGTTGATACAAATATTTCTCAAGAAAAGTCGTAAAAAAAAAAAAAAAAAAAAAAAAATGTATTTCTATTTCTAACAAAATTCTAACAATTTAATCCACGGTATTGTCATAAAATGTCCTATCGTGATCTCACATTATATTCAGTACGTGCACTGTTATAAAGTATAATGATAATAGATATAGAAAAAGATGGCACAGGTTAGATAATAATAAGCATTTTACAAACGTTAATGTGATTAACGACACAATAACAAATCCATTTATGCTGACATTAACAATAATGATAATTCAGTCCAATAGCTTCATGGTGCAGAATACACTCAGAATATACATATTTTAGACGTTCTTTTGAAATAATTAAGTACTGAACTTCAAGGAATTTATCGAATTTTCACGCCAATGCAACCAGTTTTAATTTTCGCTATCACATTCAATATTTAAATAACTGGGTTCCTACGGCATCACTGAGGTTCCATAGAAAAATGAAATAGCTGTATGATGTAATATCGTTATGCGTCTACTGAAACCAGGAAAAAAATACTGATATTTACTTTGATTATAATCACACTAAATACACTGAATATAATTTTCTTCTAATAGATGATCTTTCTCACAAATGTTAATGACAATATGTAAAATTCAAAGGGTTACATATCCTTCAGACAACTTCAATTTAGGCATAATGACAACCACCGTTTATGCCTCGGATGCAGTATGACTGATATATCCTGGGATGATGAAATACAGTGTAACAGAGGTCATTTATCATCTCAAATCCACCGCCAGGAATCGAACCCGGGACCCCAGACTTACTAGTCTGACGCTCAACAAATCGAGCTAAAGAGAAGTTCTCTCTAGCCGAGTGGTATATTGCGGCTAGTATTTTACCAGGGTTACAACAGTATCACTGATGTATCCAGGGATCTTGGGATACACTATGATTGAATGTTTATATATACAGAGTCACATTTCATTATTCTGTTAAAGGTCTGAATAAGTTCCTTTGGAGGCACATCATAATTCACACACAAAATACAAGGTGAAAGAACAAGGTCCGTACATGAAACCAGTTCCAAGCCGGAATAACAAACAAGTTTGATCTGTATCAGTAACTGTTTCTTCAGGGTACCAGATGAATGGACCAGACCCAAAATACAGTCCTCTAAGCCACCAGGAAGCTGTTGCAGACAGAAAGAATAAAGAATTAGGTATTACGTTTAGCAGTGTGGCCAGTGAAAAATGCCAAATACCTATACTTGAAATACGAGAAGAGGTCTCTTTTTTTTGGGTTGCACCAGAGACGTATATATCACATGTGTTATATATGTCTCTGGTTGAACGTAATTATGACTTTTTCTACATCGTCACAATCGTTTCATCTATTTAACGTAGTGATGTACGGACACATTCAATCGAACGATATTTAATGTCAAGACTAAAATTATAGATAAAATGTATTTTTTTGTGGTTGAGAACGTGATGTCATAAGAGGATAGATATAATCTGCAAAAAGCAAAAATGTCTTAATGTGTTTCTTGTGGATGGCTGATGTTATTGACACGCCTTTCATGGTGTAACAAAACAGATCCGTCCTCAGGTCCGCTCATAAAGACCTTACACCACTTGTTCATGTAAATTTGGAGAGAAAGTACCTTGCAGTGGTGTTCCCTTAAAGAATCGGTTTAATTTAGTTCTAATCAGTAGAGATCAAATTATAACCACTCTTTTCCTTAACACTGACCTGTGGAGCATTGCGTTCACACAGATCATGGAACAGGTTAAACACTGCCATACCAAACAGAAGCAAATTTGTTGAAGTCTTAACATAACTAAGCTTGTTTTATCACACACTGCTGTCCATTTTATGTCACAATCTTGGGTATAATATACCTTGGAACATTCAATGTTGATTGCACCAGTCAGAAATAGATTACGTTATGAAATGAACATACAATGAAAACATATGAAATCAAAACTTTAACTTAAGTCCTATCCTACGGAAGCGTATTCCGGCCACGTTGTGTTTTATTTCAACTCGAAATTTCGAGATAGTTACTCGAAATTTTGAGTTAGTAATCCGAAATTTTGAATTAGTAATCCGAAAGTTTGAGATATTAACCCGAAATTTTGAGATAGTAACCCGAAATTTCGATATAGCAACTCGAAATTTTGAGTTACTAACTCAAAATTTCGAGTTGCTATCTCGAAATTTCGAGAAAAAATGAAACACAACGTGGCCGGAATACGCTTCCGTACTATCCTATATATTAGTTGTATGATTTATACCGGCCTGCACATGAATCTAATTACTTACAGGACGGTAGATCCGATACTGTTGTATTCATAACGTCGAATTTTCGCATGGTGTCTATAACGGCCAGATGTCCTGATAGTGACATACACGTCGCCGCGGCCATGTTCCTGCTCGACGGTTTACGCAACGGAACGAAAATCATTCCATCAAAATGAACAAATCCCGATTGGTTCTGACGAGCAAATTGCGATTCTTAAAGTTAAACAATAACAATTAAAACACATATTTATAATAAGATACCAAGATTTGTTTCTTTGAACAGTTTTGCTAATTTTTTTTTCTAGATTATATTAAGAAAGAATATACCAAAGAGATGAGGTGACAAAGATTCGTGGAGTTGGATTAGGTGTATCTGACAAAGTTTAGTCTGCTCAGTGTGCGAAAGGAACTGTAGAATTCCAACTGACCTGCTTTACCTTAATCGTCTGTACTATATAACAAATCGGTCCTAGTCTTGTATGGGGTGTTCGGGAAGAACACACCATAATCAATACATTATACACAATTTCTTTAGCAGCGAAAATAGTATACATTGTTTTCAATCTTTCCAAGTTAATTTCTTTGTAGGAGGTAAAATATCACATAAAGAAAAAACATGGAAGGACATGTCTTTGTAAGATATAATACCTTGATCTGGTAGGCAGGTGCTAATCCCACTGCTTAGTGTGACGTAGGTATGATCAGCCGGGCAGTCGTTCCCATTACAGGGGCCACCATTGTTCTACATCAATAAAAACGATAATTAAGTAACAACAAAATGGTCTTAGATTTCAGTTTTAAGGACGTTTCTTTGCTTGGATGTCAGTTTTGTCGGTGTAGTAGATATTCTGGTCCTATTTTCCTTCGAGTTTTTCAGGTCCCAGTTTCATTAATCGTCCTTAAGGATATTTTCTGAACTTGCCAATACGAAAGCATTACATTAGTGAGGAAATTTCCTTAAGTTTAAGCTTTCCTTCAACTTATTTAATGCTTTCTGTGGTGATTTCCCAAAGTTAAGGAATGTTAGAGAATCTGATCCTGATAAGAAGACTTTTCTGAGATATGTCAAATTGTTACTTAGATAAGCTGGTCACGAACTTTTCGCTTTCGAGAATCTTCCGTTGTCTTCTACCATTTCACAAATTTCACAGAAAATATGTTTGAATTAAATATACTTCCCTGTTTGGCATTAGAAGATCGGTTATGAAAGAAACAAAATCTTTTTTCATGAAACGTCAATATTATAAGCGTTAAGTACATCATATTATCACATATGTCTATTGCTTTAACAGGCGGAGAAGAGTTTATGTGTAAGATCTAGACAACCACATGTTAAACACCGGAAGGTTTCATATTCTGAACGTTATCCCATTTTTTGAGTTTTTGATGAAATTAGAAATAACACCAAGCAAGTGTTTTGTCATACTTAACCTCAGATATATCCATTCTCCTGGTGTATTCGACTTGTTCAGGTCCAGCATTGCAAGTTCCGTCGAAAAACATACTGCATACTAATTTGTTTTTAACATATCTCATCCAGCCACATTCTGAACGGCAGTAACACGCGCGCTGACACTGAATGTACCCAACGGTATGAATAGTATAAAATGGCGGTGATGTGCATATAACATTAAGTCCATTGGGCGGTGGCTCCGATAGGTTTCCTCTTTTTATTACCAGTACAGCTAGAGAAACAGCTATTTGATAAAATTTATCCATTTTCTGGTTAATATTTCATTTTGGAGCCTTTGTGTGAAATTCGGTCGACACTCAACAATTGAATTTATTCAATTGATATCAATATGGAATACTTAAGTTTTTGATAAAATTTGTTTTTATCCACTAAAAGAATGGTAACAGTCCAGCTTAAACTGTTAAACACTTACGTCTCCGTTTTCATTTAACATGAAATGCACATACTGTACGTTTGTCTCTTAGCCAAATCAATATCGATCCTATGATAGTGTAACATTATAATTAGACCTCTCGATGTATTGAAAAGTGAAATACGAGATGGTTGGTTAATATAAACTGTGGGAGGAGTAATGGTTATATAATAACATTCAGTTTTTACAGCTGTCGACACTGGATGTCACTCAACATCTTCAAAGAGAATGGAAAATACGCTGACAGAGTCAACGATCTTTTTGCTTACATGGGCAATATCCTGATATGCAATTCAGATCTGCCAATCAATTAAAAAAGACACGTA